TATTCTATTCTATTCTATTCTATTCTATTCTATTCTATTCTATTCTATTCTATTCCTCCCCTTCGCTCCTCCACAGTTCAATCTGCTTTGTGCTTGAACTGGCTTGTCTGTCAGCCCTGGAAGCCATTTTGGGCTGGAGCCATTTTGGGAGCATCTTCAGAGCTGCCACAGCCAGGCTGGTTGGAGCTGTGGGAATGTGAGGGGGGGGGGAGAAAGAGATAGCTGGGGGATGTGTAGCCAAAACAACATTCTTTGCCATGGGAGCCAAGGACACTCTACCAGGTGTTGGAGAGGAATGATATACCAAAACCAGCTGGAGCTGGGACTGTGACCTGATTGGACTATGTGATGGACATGTGGCCTAGAGGGCAAAAACTTTGGGTTTTGAACTGGGTGGGGGAAACCTCAGGTCCTTCAGAGTCGGGTTTTCTCCAGCTATGCCAATATGACATTCCTAATAAATTCATACTTCGAGGAAACTCTGAGCCATAGAGTTTTGATTGCTTTGGGTCTGTTACTTGGAACCCTGGCACTAACCCAACGCTGAAAGAACTCTATGATCGGCTAACTCTCGGTTCCCAGAATTCTTTGTGCTGTCCAAGGATTCTGGGAATTGAAGTCCAACCTATCTCCAAAACACAGCAACCAATTTGGCTGCTCAGACTGATCTCGGCTCACTCAGACCTTCCACAAGTGAGCGCTTGCCGAGATCTCAGGTGCTCACCTTGCTATGGGCGTACACCACCGATCCCAGAAGCTTCCAGGTGCCTCCTCTGCGGTCCATTCGAATCATGCGCAGGATCTGTAGGAAGCGCAAACTTCTGAGCGCGGAGGTGGCAAAAACATTCCCCTGTGACCCAGCGGCCAGCACAGCAATGGAGGCAATTAACACCATGATGTCTGTATAGAAGGAAGAGAACCATATCAAAGGATCTGCCAGACTCCAAAAACCAAGAAACACATATGAGATTTTTTTTTGAAGCAGTTTCCTTTATTGTTCCTCATCTATAGACAGAAATCTTGCCAAATTAAAGCAAACGGTTTGCCCCATAAAGCATATATTCTGGGAACTGTTGAGGAGGAACTGTCTTTCTCATAAACAAACTCCCTAAGGTACATTGTCTCTTCCTTCTCTGGAATGCATCCCCTCCTCCAGGGAACCTGGACTATATTCTAAAGATGGGTGGATGGAAGAAGGGGGGGAGAGAGGGAGGAAAGGAAGAAAGGAAGGGAGGGAGGAAGGAAGGAAGGAAGGACGGACTCCAAAAACCAAGAAAGACCCATGAGATTCTTCTAAGTAGTTTCCTTTATTGTTCCTTATCTATAGACAGAAATTTTGCCACACTAAAGCAGACTATTTGCACAATAAAACATATACTCTGGGCCCTAGTAAGGAGGAGCCATCTTCATCCTCTTTTTCCCCACACAAACTATGTAAGCTTCATTGTGTCTTGCTCCTGTGTAATAAAGCACCTCCCTCCTGGGAATCTAGACTATATTCTAGGAAGGAAGGAAGGAAGGAAGGAAGGAAGGAAGGAAGGAAGGAAGG